ACACACACACGCACACACACACACGCATACCCACACACACACATACGCACACACACACACACACACAAACATGCACACACATACACAGGCTTACAGTCACATGCATAAAATAAATGAACAGTAATATGAACAATAATAATCTTAAGCTAGATACATACTCAATGTAATCCTGATGCATGCTCTATGGTCATATGAATACCAGTAACAAGATAGTTAAGATGGAAGAATTTTGATAGAGGATGGCAAAACTGACCTTCTGTATCTTTCTTTGTTACAGACTAGAAGCCGAGATCTAGGTCTTTTACTTCTGACTGATGTTTTTATTTGAGGGAACAATTTTTGTAGTCTAAAAAGATGGAAGTGATTTTTTTTAGTACAAGCTGTTAAGTATTATCCAAGTACGGAATGTAGATGTTGAAATTTTGCATGCTTTCCGTTTTAATCGATTTAACGTTTCTTTATTTTGTTGTCTTGTGTTCCAGCCCAACGCTGTTATACAGAAATTGATCACACTTTCTATGGTTGAATGATAGAATATGGACATCAATGTTTAAACAACTTTTAAATACATGAGCTTCCCCTTTAAAAAAAAAAGAAGTCTTTTGTTCACTTTTTTTTATTCAGGAGAGAAGTCGACACGCCAGTTGAGTTTGTTGTCTATTGTAACAACTCAATACTTATAATCGGACATTTGCTCGACGTTGTCACATGTAATTTTGAGTGCCTGCAGTGACAGTTTCTTTTTTCTTAATAAAAGTCAACAAGTTCTTTGGGTTTTTCTCAAATTTAAAAGCAGCTTATGATTTTCACACCATTCAGAGAAAAGTTTAGTACAAAATGTCGGTAAGCGGTTTCGTTATAATGGTCAGCCTGAATGAACCCAATAGTTGAATCTTCCGCAAATTTGATCAACTTGATGTTACTGCTGTTTATTAGGCAATCGTTCGTGTATAATGTGAATAAAACTGGTGACAAAACACATCCTTGAGGGGCCCCTGCATTTTTTAATTTTTTTTTGGTGATGTATGTCGATGAGGAATGTTTTAATTTTACATACTGGGTTCGGTTGGTAAGAAAATAGAATATCCATTATATTAAATTGACGTTCACACCTATGTTTTCTAATTTCTTTAAAAGGATTTGCTGGCTGGATAGTAGCAGGTCTAAGATAAAAAGCGCATTCCTGCGTCTCACAAATTTCAGTTTATTAGACATAAAATGTAATTGAAGGCAACTAATGGGTTTAGTCACGTCATTGTACACTCTCAACCATTAACACTGTCTAGTTCTATTATTGTATCGTCAGCTATATCCATATTTTTGCTGGGACACTTTATCTTACTCTGACTATGATGATCCTGACTTCTAAATTATCTTAAATCAGTTCACGAGGGGTTGGGGTGGGTGGGAAGGGGTATTACAATCAACCAATCATTATTCGCCCCTGAGAAAAAAGCTTTCTGCAGTTTAATGATTAGACTCTTCAAGCTGTCAGCAAAGGAGGCAAGTTTGATTCATATTTAGGGTACTTAAATATCTTTCAAATTTCTCATGGTGTATCCCCTCCTCCCATAGACAAGGCAAACTCTGATAAGAAGCGTCGAAGCAACCAGATTCCTAAATGAACTGAACGCAGTCTGTTCCGTGCTACAAA